TTAAATTAAAATTTTAAAATAATTCATATATTTATTTATATTATTTTTTAAAAATTCAAAAATTAAATTAAATTGTTGTGATAAGATAATTAATTAAAATAAATAATTAAAAATAAAGTCAAAAATTAAAAATATTTATCTATTTTAAAAAATAAAAAATAAAAATTAATTTCTAGTAATTTTTTAAAAACAATTTTGCAATGAGACGAATTCGAACCGTTGCTTGGAAGGAGGAGAGATGCACTTAAATATGATTTGATGCCACTGAAATTGAAGACCCAATGTTAATTTCAAATAAATTTAAAATTAAAAAAATAATTATTTTGAATCAAACGAATTATAAATTGAAAATAAAATTATGATAGCATAAAAGTCAAACAAAATAAATACATTATGTAGGCGTGTCACATGCATGAAATGGGGAGAAAATTAAAAAAAGTAATATTTATTTAAATTGAAATGAGGCTTGGTTGTTTAGTGGCACACTTTGCTTGTTCGGTTCTGGGGTTGGGCATCGAAAACTAGCACGAAATAATTCAAGCCTGCACCGAAACTGTTATTTTAGGCCCAAAGCCCATTTCAACCAACCCGAAATCCAAACTTCGGGTCGCTTTTTTGGCCCACCAAACGGTTGCGGGCATTCTTAGCTAGGCCTAACCCACATGTCATTAAAAGTTGGAAAATTTTTAGAAATCACCTTTTTGTATTATATTTTTTTTATAATTTTAGGTATCATTAAAACGATTAATTAATTAATTTATTTATAATTTATAATTTTAAATACATCCACTCATTTAATGATATATAAAAATTATATTAAAAAATAATTTAAAAAAATTATTTTTATATCACTGCATATTTCAATAAAGTACAAACACAATGGCTTAAATTCAGTCAAATGCTGGCCTAACTTACACAGCTGGACCTACACCCACACTAATTATTTAATTCAATTGGATTCCAACATTCAATGGTCATGGTTAACTGTTAATTTTAATATAAACCCACTAAACCAACCAAACCACCCTTTCACAACCTCATGCAACGTGATTTTCAATTAAATGTCCACTTTCTTCATCTCACGCCAAAATCCATTATTATGTCAAACACTAGCACCAATTACTTTAATTATCTAGCACTAGTTTCCAAAACCAATTGTTCCCGGCAAATGCCGCCACACAATACCCACTATTATACACTAGTACTTTCTTTTGGTTTTGGTTGAATGTTAATTCCCTAAACTTTTCATTTTGAACACTTTTGATCTTTAAATTATTTTCAATATTTTTTGTGTCTCTTAATTTTACATATTATACTTTTTTCATTCTTCTATTGGTTAAGTGATGATACGGGCATTAACTCATTTTCTTTCAATTTTTCATGGTTTATCCATTATAAATGTGTCTTTGACCTAGTTGAACAAAATATGTGAAGTCCATATTGGTAAGTTTAACTTAAATGAATAAAATAGTAAATTAAAAAACTAAAAACTATCCATCAATTAAATTTCTTTATAAATTAATCCCTCTATTCAACTTTAATGGATCTAATTCTAATTTGAGGCTTTTAAATTTATTTGTTCACTTTTTCTTTTTAGGATATTATTTAATGTGTCTATTCATATTTAACCCTTATTTTAAAATGATAATTACAATATATATTAAATATAAAAGTTTATTTAAGTACTATTTAATTAGTGATAAATATAAAACTTTATTAATTAATTATTGCATATTTATTTTATTAGACAAAAAACTATATCTATTGAAATTGAACGAATGGAGTAAATATTAAAATTTACAAAATGACAAAAATAATCCTAAAATCTTCTTTTTTATCTTTAGACTTCTTATGCACTAAAAATATTTTGGGCACATCAACAAAAAACTGTCTAAAATCAACAAAAAAAAAGTGTCATTTTAGATTGAGTTAACACTTATATCATCACTTAAATAGCGAAAAGATGTAAAAATGGCAATTTGTAAAGTTAAGAACCAAAAGTGTACTGAAAATAATTTAGAGATAAAAAATGTTAAAAATAAAAGGTTTACAGATTTAAAATTGATATTTTACCTTTTCTTTTCTCAATTGCTGAATTCCTCACACAGTGGCCATCACTAAAAGGGGGCCTTGCGCCGACTACAGAGCGTATGCCTTCTTTTTAATTTCTTTCTAATAAAAACTGCACAGTCCAATAGCAAATAGGCAAACATTAATTCAATTCTCTTGCCATTAAAGAAAAAAAGAAAAAAGAATAATAATAGTAAGTATATGGAGGTTTTATTAATCTTAAATTAAAAAAAAAAACTGTTTTTCACCTTTTAACTCACTTCATATGTATATTATATAACCTAAATTAAAACTTTTTTATTTAAAAAAAAATTATCACCAAATTACTTTGATATTAATAGTTAATACTAAAAAATTTTAAGGTTAAATTTTAAGATAAAATTTTAAACAACTATATTTATCATAATTAGCCTTATTTGAACCTACATATTAACAATTAAAAATTTTGTCTTAAAATTTCGTTCTACAATTTAGTTCCAAAAGCATTTTCCAAAAAGATATATATTCTCTACTTTTTCGCCATCCAGAACCAAAGCCAGCAAAATTTCTGCTTTTCCACACATCCCCTTCTTTAGACACACTACTCTCTTCCACCACTCTCTTTCATTAGTCTGAAGAACTCATACTGTGCAGGAATCCTCTCTTCCATTTCAGCAACTCTCGTTTCGTCTACGTTCTGCAGCAGCATACATATCTTAGCACTCATCTCTTCTATATCTCTCTCACTTGGACTGCATCTACCAGCTTTTTCAGAATTCCTAAGAAATTAGATGTGAATCCAAAGGTACGTATATGTAAGCTTCCGGTCTCTTTAATTAATTTTAGTTAATTTATGGTCCCTTTAAAGTTATTTCTTCGCGAATTGGGGACAAAAAATGGAATATATTTTTTGCATACACAACTTATATGTAAGAAATAGACTTTCCATTGGATTAGACACTCACACCAAGTGACTGTTTAACTAGCTCAGTTTTATCAAATTTCAAGACAATTTAATTATTAATTTTTTTGATGCAGCAGTTTTTCCTATTTTTTACTTTTTATTGTGAGTTGCTAAGCAAATCTTTCTCATTCTATTATTCACTGCACTCATGTGTCTACAATTGAAATTCAAGATATCTTAGTTTAGAAAAGAAACAATTACCATTAGATAGCTTATTTGTCTTCTTTAAATTTTGGTTTTTGGTATAATAAAGAAGTTAGATACTTATTGACATAAATGTTTGAACACTTAACTTCAACTTCAAATTAATATTTTTAAATTAGTGAGTATCACCTCAACCAATCTCCTATATCTATTCATTTCTTTGATCCTACAGTTGACACTATGAATTCGTAGCATTTGGGGTATAGATTTTATGGCTAAACTTTTGAAATTGATACATGTTACTTATCAATTTTTAAATTAATAAAAAACATTACCAAAGAAACTCACCTAAGTCTTATTTTTTCATTTTCACCCTTACTCCCAATCAAAAAAAAAAAAAAAAAAAAAAAAATACTAATGCATTTTCATTTCATAATATAAGGTAAAATTGAAATACAACTAATGTTTTTTAAGCAAATTGGAAGTTATGATATTGCTTACTTAATTTTTTTTTTTTTTAAAGTATTGTATAGTTTGGATTATATTAAATTGGATAGTGATCAGTATATACTCTGTTTCAACATGTTATACAATATATTTATTAAAAAATTATTATTTTTTAATTTAAAATTAAAAACAAGATACAAATCAACTATACTTATAAGATATTTTAATAATTGAATTGAGATAACTATTAAAATATGTGTTGAATTAATTATATACCAAATATTTTCTTATTATATTACATAATTTTAATTATTGGATGAGAGTTTTCTTGATATTAGAATTGTCTTCTCTCATCTAATAATTTTTATTTTACAGTATAACTATAAAATAAAGAATTCCGTTTTTTTTTTCTTAAGCCATTGAAACTACTGTTGTTGTTTTTTTTTTTTTAATATTATGATATTGCTTAAATATTAGTGCTTTATTTTTACAGATCCTTGTTTCACATAATGGAAGTAGTTACGATTGTTGGAACCACTGTTCTATCTGTTTCTTTGGAGTGGGTAATCAAGAAATTGGGATCTAAGTCCAGTGCATTGCGGAATCCACGGAAGCATGTTCGTGAAAACTTGCAAAATTGGAAGAGTTTTTTGCCAAAATTACGCGCTGTTCTTGATGATGCCGAGCAGAGGCAGACAGCCAATCCTGCCGTGGAGATGTGGCTTTCCGACCTTAGACATCTAGCTTATGATATGGAGGATGTCCTGGATGGACTGGAGGCTGATGAACGAAGGAAGAAATTGACTGCAAACACTAATCAAGTTCAACCCAGCACTAGTAAGGCGCGAAAGCTGATCCCTATCTGCTTCACTAGTTTCTATCATGATGATTTCATCCCTGATTGTGAGGTTGTTTCAAAGATAAAGGAGATTTCTGTCAGATTAGAACGTGTTGTGAAAGAGAAGGAAGCGCTAGGTTTGAGAGTTGGTGAGGCAGGACCTAGCATAGCGGCTCCACGATGGGAGCCGGCCACCACTTGGTTGCCCGAACCTCATGTCTACGGTCGGGAAGGTGATAAAGATGCAATCCTTCAAAAAATGTTGAATGAGGAAGGCAGTGATGAAAACCCTTGTGTGATTCCCATTGTTGGCATGGGAGGATTGGGAAAGACCACACTTGCTCGACTAGTTTACAATGATGATGGACTAAAGGGTGTGTTCGAGCTAAAAGCTTGGGTTTGTGTGTCTGGTGAATTTGATGTTCTTCAAATAACAAGATCTATTCTTGAGCAAGCAACTCAAAGAAAGTGTGACTCTAAAGATCCATCGGTACTTCAAGAGAAGCTGAACAATACCTTATCTGGAAAGAAGTTTCTACTTGTCTTGGATGATGTTTGGAGTGAGGACTATTGTTGTTGGGATGTGTTGCAAAGAGTTTTTATATCAGGAGCAAAAGGGAGTAAAATAATTGTGACATCACGCATTGAGGGAGTTGCAAAAACTATGGGAGCAGGTGATAAAATTTATCATCTTAAAGAGCTTCCAAAGAACGAATGTATGTCATTATTAGCTAGACACGCATTTGGGAGGGAGAACTTTGATGTGCACTTGTATCTCAAAGATATTGGTGAAGAAATTGTGAAGAGGTGCAGTGGGTTGCCATTAGCTGTAAAAACCCTTGGAGGACTCCTTCGTGGTGAGCTAAATCCTGACAAGTGGGTCAAGGTATTGAACAGTGAGATGTGGGAATTACCAAAAGAGAGGTGCTACATTCTTCCAGCTTTGAGATTGAGCTATCATCATCTTCCTGCTCATCTAAAAAAGTGCTTTGCCTATTGTTCTTTGTTTCCAAAAGATCATGAATTTTGCAAGGATGATTTGGTATTATTATGGATGGCCGAGGGATTTGTACAGCAACAGAAGAATGGAGTTGGGCAAATGAAAAGCATGGGGGATCAATACTTTTGTGATTTACTATCAAGAGGCCTTTTCCAACAATCAAGCACTAAACAATCTTGCTTTGTGATGCATGACCTTGTTCATGATTTAGCTCAATATGTTGCAGGAGAAACATGCTACAATCTTGAAAAAATGTTCCACAGTGAGAAAATGGTAATTCATTTAGAAAAGGTACGCCATTTGTCAATCTCTGCTCTCGGAGTTGAAGCTTTAAGAAGATTGAGATTTCTAGATAAATGTAATAACTTGCGGACATTCTTAGCATTGCCTTCTTGTGACCACTATAATGAAGGACATAATATGTTCTTTCAGGAGTTGCTACAAAAATTAAGATGCTCAAGGGTCTTATCTTTTAATGATAAGATTGTATCAGAGATTCCCACTTCGATTGGAAATTTGAAGCATTTGCGCTACATAGATTTTTCTTGTAGCCAAATACAAAGTTTACCAGATTCTATGAGATTTCTTGTGTACTTGCAGACATTGATACTACACGATTGCAGTAGAATCACTGAGTTGCCTGCATCAGTTGTGGATTTGGTTGACTTGCATCACCTTGATATTAGGGGTACAAATTCCTTACAAAAGATGCCATCCCAAATGGGCAAGCTGACGAATCTTCTGATGTTGCCTAAGTTTATTGTGGGGAAATCTTCTGGGCTGAGATTAAAAGAGTTGAACAACTTAAAGTATCTACAAGGCAAGCTACTTATCCAAGATCTCCATAATGTCTCTAATATTGAAGATGCCAATGAGGCCAATCTGTGTAAGATCGAGGGCCTTGATGAGCTAGAGTTGGGATGGACTCATGATTTCCATACTTCACGAAATGAAAGTTATGAAATGCAGGTACTCAGTCAATTAAAGCCTTATTCCAATCTAAGGGCATTCAAAATTGATTCATATGGTGGCTTGCAATTCCCATCTTGGATAGGTGATCCATTATTTTCTAAATTAGAGTACTTGGAACTCTGTAATTGTGAGAGAAGCACTTCATTGCCAGGGCTGGGCCAATTACCATGGCTCAAAGAATTGGTCATAAGAGGCATGCTTGCAGCAAAAACCATAAACCCTGAGTTTCATGGTCATAACAATTCTTCTCTTGACAATTTTCCATTGCTGTATAGGTTGACTTTGTTGGATTGCCCCAAATTGATTGGAAAATTACCTGGCTACATTCCTTCCCTCAAAAGGCTTGAGATCACAGGATGCCCTCAATTAACTTATTCTCCAATGAGTCTTCCGTCACTTCAGGAATTGTATCTGGATGACTGTAATGAGGCAGTTCTCAGAAGTGTGGTTGATTCCACTTCACTTACAAAGTTGCAAATTCAGCACATTTCAGAGCTTACTTGCTTACCTAAAACATTATATATGATGGCACTTGAAGCTTTGCAAGTTGAAGAATGTGGTGAACTTATTTTCTTGTTGGAGGATGGAGACAGTATATCAAGCCTTGCTGCCAATCTTAAGAGTATTACAATTAGCAGGTGTCCTTTCCTAGTATCATTAGCAGGGCAAGAACAGAAGCACCTACTTGGTAGTCTTGAAAAGTTAAGGATCGCTAATTGTGCCAACCTTGAACACCTACCAACTGGACTACATAATCTCACCTGTTTAAAGCAACTAAGCATCGGAAGATGCAAAAAGTTTGTAGGCTTTTTGGTGACTGACTTTCCATTATATCTTCATAGACTTAACTTATCTGATTTGGAGGCATTGGAGTCATTGCCTGATGAGTTGATGATGACAACAAAAGAAATAATTATTCGTAATTGTCCACGCCTTAATTCTTTTCCAGTAGGCAAGTTACTCGCCACGCTTCAAAATTCAACAATTGATAGAGGCATTGAAGTAGTGAATCCCCTAAGAAATCTCAGTTTCCCTATTGATTACATGCACAAGCTTAGTTGTCTCTGCTACTTTGAAATAGTTAATTGTGAAAGTTTAGAGTCTTTACCGGAAAGGGTGTTGTCCATTCCCACTCTTCAAACTTTGTGGATAATGAGTTGTAAGAGTCTAAAGTCTCTACCCAATGGGATGTACAATTGTGAGTCTCTCCAAAATTTGGAGATAAGTGGTTGTCCAAGTATAGCATCCATTGCAAGAGGAAGCTTGCCCCCGAATCTAAAAGATCTTGTGATCGATTGCGAGGGTCTGAACGAGTCCATGTTAGAATGTTGGGGCATTGATAGGCTTACATGTCTCAAGTACTTCGAGATTAATTGGATATGTCCTTCGGATGATTTGCTTCCCACTTCCCTAACAACTCTTGTAATTAAAGGGGTGTATAATCTGGAATCCATATCCAGAGGGCTCCTCCAAAACCTTGCTTCTCTTAAAAAGTTGGAAATTTTAGATTGCCCCATTCTCAAGACCTTGCCAGAGGAAGGCCTGCCTCCCTCACTGGAAAAGTTTCAAATCAAAGGCTGTCCACTTCTAAAACAACGGTGCTTAAAGGAGAAAGGAGACTATTGGCCCCTCATATCCCATATTCAAGAAATAAATATATGGTAGATTGGACTCAGGTACAAGAATATCCTGCCACATACTCAGCATGTTCTTCATCATAATTTGAACTCAGAGATTTGTTACTACTATTACTTGTTTTAGCAAATTAGTAAATATCCTTGTTAATTTGAGATAAAGGGATAGGCTTTGTTCCTTGTTTTTCATCCTGGAATAGCCTTAACTTTATTCTAATCAATTCTTTCATCTATTTTTTTAGTTCTTATTGCAACAAGTGACAAGACTGCAATGGCAAGTTTGGCAGATATCAGTTCAGATGGAATCCATGAAATCCTTGCATCATTATGAAATTAAATATGATTTTGAGGTGTGTGTTTTGCATTCTTATATGTTATGAATTCAGATAAAGAATCATAACACAATCTCTTAATATAGGATTGTATAAATAAAACTTTTATATAGTATATGGTTTATTTCTTAAATAACTGATATATCATGACTGGAGAAGTATTGTTGGTGTCATTTCTTTACAAATTTCAGGAGTTTGTTTTTCTTCCATGCCATGCCAAGCTTTGCAAAAATGAACTGGGAACTATTTCTAGCATGACATGCACGTGCAATCATTTTCCCGTTATTTCATGGCTTATATAATTGTTACTCTTTTTTTGAGGCTTTCTGGCTTATTAGAGACTTTCATTTTGGATAACTATTATGCTTATATAGCTATTTCTGAAGTTTTCTATAATTGGAGAGGTTGATTTTGGAGGATTGTCCCGAGTTGATTGGACATCTTTCTTCCCTCACAACTCTTTAACAATTAGAAATTGCACTCAATTTACTTACTCATCATTGAGTCTTCTATCACCTTAGAAACTGTACTTCAATGAATGTAATGAGGCAATTCTACATGTATGGTTGATCTCACTGTCAGTGCTTTTCTTTTTCTTTATGAATTTTTCTAAGATGCCAACATTATGTTTTTCAAGTTTATTAGGGTGAAATGTGCACAATCACTCAATGGTTTCTGTTGTTTACTTCGAATTTCCACTCCTAATAATGAAAGATATGCACCGCTATTAATTGTGCATCATATCAGTTTACTTTTTAGTAATCGAAACATAAAAGCATTTGGCAAGGAAGGGCTCATAAAGGTACCTGAAGGAACAACATGTAAGGTATGTTTGAGGAAAAGAACTAGGGAATGAGATATGATAATGAATCCATAAATCCGTCTTCTTATGCTTAGTTTTGTGTGGATTTGTCGATTGATACTCTATGATTTAGGAAGGAGCAACAGTTCAAACTTCGTGTTGGAGATTAATCTATATATCCCTCTTCTTATGCTTATTTTAGATAAACCAGCAGCTGGTCTTTTAATGCTGACCTTTCAAGTTTTTGGCCTTCTGATTTTGATTGGGTGCAACAATGATCAAAGTTCTTGTTGGAGCAGATTACACAAACAAATGGTTTTTTTATTCTGAGCTTTCAATTTTTTTGGCCTTCTGTTTTTTTTCTTTTCTTTTCTTTTGATTTGATAATCTAGTTAAGAAGATAATGAGAAAAAAATAAAAAAGAGTTTAAATGCTTTAGATGTGAAAGTAACTTTAGAAATAAAATTGAAGTGTAAAATAGATATTTCAATATAAACATCCTCTAAAAAAAAAACCATAAATGTTGTCAAAATTTACAAAAATAATTACTTCTTGTAAAGCCAGCCCTGTTACAATAGTAAATATGAGATGCATTAACAAAAGCCCAGAGTTATTGAAAATTACAAAAATTCCACCTCCCAAAAAATTCTCGCTAGGTATGACAAAGGGACAGCTATTTTTATCGTTTATTTCTTTAAATTTAACAATATTATCATGGTAAATAAGTTGAATAATTTAATAATAATTTATTTGTATTAATTTTTTTTTATTCTTCGTGTAATGGACAAAGCAGTACCACTCTGTCCTTAAGTAAAAATACCCACTGAAAGGTTAAAAAGTTCAACTCCCAACTCCTCTTTCCTTTACCCCTTTAAATATAAAATATAATAACAGTAATTCATTACTTTTATGAAAAAAAAAAAAGAACGGGGTAAAGTTATTTTTACGTAAAAACAGAAATAGAAGAAAGAACCAGCACCACGTGGGCTATGCGCATATTTGACGTGATTTGTAAGAGTTTTTATTATTTAAATATTATTATAAGTGATAAATTTAAATTTTTATTAAAAAAATTTT